TGACCATTGTCAATATCCTATAAAACTAAGCCCGAACTGTTTATTAAGAGACCCTCATAAGTTTCACAGGGGAGAAAAAGTAGATAAGTCTACCATAAGGCAACTTGTAGGGCGAGCCATAGAGGTAAAGGGAACTTGCCAGTGTATATGTTCCCTACAACACTGTTGCCTCTTGATAGAATAGAACCACCCAACATTGAGGCTGTTGATGTTTCTGATCTCTGATACCTTTGACGTCCCATTGCCTACACACTGTGAACTTAGAGCATGAACCAGGTGATAGATCTTGATGTTGATGGACAACCTTGACCTTACCTCGTCAATTCTTGTGATCAAGCTAGGAATTATGGTAAATTCTTTTAAAGATATATTCCCAGAAATTGTGCTTTAGATTACCAAGGATTCAGACAATATATCACATTATCTTGGTGAGTAATGTTGCTTAAGCTGTGGTTTCCATGTTTGCACAAATACAATCCTTTGAATTTTTGTGATTCGACTGTGAAGTGATTTTGTACTTCTTATTTTGCTAATTAATTTCATTGCTTATTTTTCTTCACCCCTGTATAAGCTATCACAATTCTGCAAATGCAGCAATCTGCTCCCCTTGAACATTACAGTGTCTGTTGTGCACTGCCCATTGATCTGTGTATTTGAAGTGTTTCTCCATTTATTCAAAATAAACTTTAATCTCTGCGTCTGCTTACTCTCATGATGCTCATGGTTCTTGGAAATAAACTGTAACTAATTCATGAGGACGCGTATTCTCCTTATCCTGTGCCATGGTGCTGACTGATATTCTTCCACTCTATTTTATCTCCACAGATTTGGAATATCTGGAACTGGAAGGGTTGCAATTGAGCAACTTACAAAAATCTTCTCTATGAATCTAAGAAAATCAAGTGCTCCATCAAAGATGAATCAGGCATTTTCAAATTCCAAGAGACGATCTACTCCTTCATATCGTACCTTAGTTCAATGGCATTTTCTTCCCAATCTTAATCTTTGATGCTCGGACTCTTCGAAATGGTTGGAGTACTTGTGTCGGACACGACACGACACGACACGACATGGGTATGGGTATGGGTATGGGTATGGGATATGTGTCGGATCTTCCAAGTGTTACCGGACACTTCATCGTTTTTTACTTCTTTCTTTTTTCTTTTCTTTTTCTTTCTGTTTCTACTCTCTAAAATCAAGCACTACTGTTGGAGGGTGGAAAAAGGCGACGGCACTAGATTTTCCCTTCTTCTTTCTTTTTCTTTCCCTTTTTTTTTCCTTCTTTTCCTCTCTGTATCGGTGGTTTAGGGTTTTGTTTGTATAAACTAAAAATAAGTTCCATATAATATTACTTAGTGCTCCACTAAATTTAAATTGCAATCAAGTCCCTCATTTTTAATTTTATATAACACTTAGTAATTAGCTTCTCATAATTAAAAACTAAACCCCAAAATTCTATTTTATTCATCTTAACTCCTTATTCAATACTATTTCATTCTTCGTGAACAATTGATTTTGGTCTATTCAAAATAACATCTCGAGTTAATAAAAAAATTGAAGTTTGAAAAACATATCCACGTACCCATATCCAAAATTTAGATTCCTTTTAGCCATATTCCCGTATCCTACATTTTAAAATTTAAAAGATCCGACACTTACATACGTACCGTACTCGATTCCCATACCCGACTCCGAGCATCATAGGTCTTAATACAGATGGCATCATCTAATCTGATTCTACTCTTAATGCGATTGTTAGCATATCAAGGCATAGGCATGACACTGAAACATGGATAAAAGAAGGCTTTATACACAAGATTGTTCATTGTTATATACTGGTGATTGAAATATTGGCTCCTGGACAACAACTTGCGTTAGCTTTGGAAGTGAGGATTTACAAACTAATTGCTGAAACTGATCCGCTTATTTGTAAAAGTTGAAAAAAAGTCACATTGTAAGTGTACTTGTTTTGCTCTTCAGGGAAATCCCTATTTGTAATGGTTGTTACAAACTAATCTGATTCTACTCTTAATGCGATTGTTGGCATATCAAGGCATAGGCATGACACTGAAACATGGATAAAAGAAGGCTTTATACACAAGATTGTTCATTGTTATATACTGGTGATTGAAATATTGGCTCCTGGACAACAACTTGCGTTAGCTTTGGAAGTGAGGATTTACAAACTAATTGCTGAAACTGATCCGCTTATTTGTAAAAGTTGAAAAAAAGTCACATTGTAAGTGTACTTGTTTTGCTCTTCAGGGAAATCCCTATTTGTAATGGTTGTTGCTTTAATAAATGGTCTCTGGGCCATGATCAAGTCCTCTGTAACTACATTTATTTGTATTACTTTTGTATTTAATGATGGAAAGTACATGAAACTAATAATATATATATATATATATAAGTTATTCATTGAAAATGGAACATCTGCGGTTATCATTTTGACAATATCAACTAAGTTTGCAGTTATTCTTCTATAACTAAGGTGGACAGTGAACTACTGGAAATGGCTTATGAAGCCTCTAGTCCCTACGTGTGCGCACTACTGGAAATGACTTAAGATGCTATAGCACTCTTTTCACTAGAGATAAAACTAGCCTCATTGAGCTACTGTTTAACAATGAAAGATTAATATCATTGAGTTTAACTTCGGTTCTCAACAGGGATGGATTCAGGATTGGATCCAAGATTGAGCTACAAAATTTCAAATCGGGCTACTATGCGGGAAAAAATTTTTACACATAAAAAACTGATTTTTTTACCCAAAAAAATAAAAAATACTTTAAAAAAAAGCTCTTGGGCTTGAGTGTGGGGGGCCTACAGCCCCGCCCCCCCCCCCCCCCAAAAAAAAAATCCATCTCTGGTTCTCAATCTATGACCAATATGAGCTCGAAACTTCCTTCATAACTCTTGAAACTTCTTTGTAGTGGCTCTATTTCATTATATTCCACAAATATCCTACTTTCATTCATTTAATATCCGTTAAGTGTCATTGACATAGGAGTAAGTTGTGAAACTGCACCCTTCATTGAGACTGTAATGCAAAGGAAGTACAAAGACAAGGTAATAGATGATGATGAGTTAGGCTAATGAAGCCATCGTAATATAATGTTCAATTGCGTTCATTTCTAGAACCAGACATCTAAGCTAAGCTCCAATGATTTTCTCAAAGATGGACTGCATGACAAATGGAATAGTTTACAACTTTTGACTTCAATTAGCAGTATTAGAATACAACAAAACTCTTGTGATGAGACAAAAAACATCACCAATAATCCCCACAAGAGCAAGTTCCATCCTTGAAATGATGAAACCTTCGAACATCCCTCACAATGATTTCCCTGTCTACAATCTTTGAAATAAATTTAGTAGCGGTGTGGCAGTCATTACAGACTCTAAGATTCTTGGCTACTCGAATAGTGGTGCCAGGAGGGGTATTGAGGAGACCGAAGGCCATTGCTAATCTCTCACTGTGTCCACAAAGTAGATTCTCCTTTTCATCCTCGTCGACATTCTGAAGAACGGAGGAAGTGTCAGGCACATAACCTTCTTTTTTCATTCTAGTGAATAGATTATCAAGAAAGCGGTAGAGCTGTTTGCTTTGGGGGTGCGATAAATCTCCAGCCGAAAACTTGTGAACTACATCACCAAGCTCAATCCAGCTACACCCAGGTTCTTTTCTTACCCTCATTTCTTTCATGTTCCTTCGAACCTCAATAGCCTTTTCCCAAAGTCCAGAAGTTGAATATATATTAGAGAGTAAAACGTAGTGGCTAGCAACATTTGGCTCTAACTCAAGGAGTTTTTCGGCTGAAATTTCTCCAAGTTGTATGTTTCGGTGGATCTTGCAAGCACCAAGCAAACTACTCCAAGCCCCTACCTTGTCGTATTGAGGGGGCATGCTATTGATAATTTGATATGCTTCATCCAGATTACCTGCTCGACCAAGCAAGTCCACAATACAAGCATAATGATCTGCATTGGGTTCGAGTGCATGTACCTCTTTCATTTCGCGAAACAACTTTCTTCCTTCATCTACCATCCCAGAATGACTACACGCTGCAAAAACTGCAACGAAAGTAATCTCATTAGGCTTCACCTCTCCATGGCTGGCTCCTACAGCTGCCATCCTTCTAAAAAGTTCCAATGCTTCCTCTCCTTTCCCGTGCATCCCATAAGCCATGATGATCACATTCCACGTTATCACATTTCTGGTAGGCATGCTTTCGAAAACTCTCCGTGCTAGATTTAAGCACCCGCACTTGGCATACATATCAACCAATGCACTACCAACTGCAACATCAGATTCTAGCACATTTCTGATAGCGTAAGCATGAATCTCTTTTCCTTTAGATAGTGCTGTTAGACCAGCACAACTAGGAAGGACAGTCATGAGTGTTATTGAATTTGGTTTAAGCAAGAACATAATATTATCATCAAGATCATCCTTATCATCTTTTGTTTCTGCTATTTGCATTTTATGAAGCAAAATAAGTGCGTCTTCATAGTATCCGCAAACAACATAACCAGTTATCATCGTATTCCAAGAAACAATATCTCTACTCTCCATGGTGCCAAATATGTACTTAGAGTTATTTATCTTTCCTGTCCTGGAATACAAGTCCATCAGGGCATTTTGGACATACCTGTCCCTTCCAAGACCCAACTTTATAACATAACCGTGCATCACTTCTTTATCTGCAAAAACTTTGCAATGCACACAAGCTGGCAAAACACTAGCCATCGTGGTTGGATTTGGAAAAAGACCCGAGACCAATACCATCTTCATAAATAACATCAAGGCCTCCTTATAGAAACCATTTTGGGTATAGCCAGCAAGCATAGCATTCCAGAGGCCAAGTTTCCGATCCACCACCGCACTGTCAAAGACTCTGCGCCCAAACACAACTTGTTTACAGTTGCAATACATGTCCACCAAAGCACTGGCCACAAAGGAATTCCCCATTAAATCATCGTTCCTTAATACATAAGCATGAATTTCTCTCCCAACATCCAATAGCTCCAAATGGGAACATGCAGGAAGCACACTTGAAATCGTGACCCCATCAGGTTTAAATCCTTCGACTATCATAAAACTCAGACACTCCAATGCCTCATAGAATCGATCATTTTGTGAATATGAACTAATGAGGGTATTCCAAGAAACCATATCTCGGTTGGTAAACCACTCGAATATAGCCTTGGCATCATCACCTCTCCCTAATTTGGAGTACATTGACATCAAAGCATTGTTAGTATATGTCTTTCTATCATCCGCTCTCAAAATATAACCGTGAACTTGCTTTCCAATCCTTAACCCATGGTTCCTACTCAAATTACTACAAGCAAGCAGTAGGCTCACCAAAGTGAATGAACTAGGCTCGATTTTCTCCAACCGCATTAACCGAAAAGCTTCTATAGCTAACTCCCACTCCTCATGTTTACACAAGGCATTGATAATTGAGTTCCAAGAGACTTGGTCCTTCTGGGGAATTCTGGCAAACACCTTGAGGACTTGGTGGATGTCATCCCCGCATTTCCCATACATATGGAGAAGCGTATTGGCCACGGTGACCGATGAAGAATCATAGCCGAGTTTAACAACAGACCCATGAATCTGTTTCCCTAAATTCAAGTCTTGTAAGGAAGTGACGGCCTTCAAAGCAGCCGGGAAAGCAAAATTATCGGGTTGAACACCAGATAATTGCATTTGAATAAAAGTAGAAATGGCATCTTGGAATTGGTTTGAGCGGGTTTGGGAGCGAAGAGTTTCAATCCATGAGGATTTGGAGCGGGCGGGGGCGGTGGCGGTGGCGGTGGCGATGGATGGTGGTAATGGGAGGCTGTCATGAGTTTGAGGAAAATTAGACAGAGCAGGAGAAGGGAGTAGAGGGTAGTGAGTGGATGTTGGGAGGGACATTGATCGGTAAATAGTTATTACAGTTGAGACCTGTGCTCACAATTGATAAGGTAGTGGTGGTGTCGAGTTGGGCCGGGCCTTGAGGCCCGATGATCCGCACGGCTATAATTAAAATTCGAGCAATCGGCCCAATTTGGATCATTATACAGAGTAATACTTTAATAGAACGATTTTACACGAATATTTGGAAGGATTATCCACTAAAGTCATGATACCTCGCATGCCGATTGAGCTCATCCATCCATTCTATTTCTCTTTTACACGCTCGATATTTACGATGTCTTGACATGAGTAATTTTTTTTTTGAGTTGTCTTGGTGTGGTGGATGCTCCTATTACGTGTACACATAAGATAGTCCCGTTGAGAAATTTTCAATTTACGTATTGAGCTACTAGGCGTGATTGTTGACTTGATTATAAAAGTAATTAGCAAAAAAATAAAATAAAATAAAAAATATCATAGTTTGTATTCATTGCGAAAATAGTCCATATCATTTCAAACTTAGTATTTGCACTCTCATTTCACACTTTTCTTGCGGAGTTGGTTCTTTCCATCATGTTCCATTAAATACTTTCGTGAAATATGGGTAATTGGCCCGAAATGTTCATATCGTTTGCTTTCATTGTGTAAATCATCCATATTGTTTTAATTTTGATATTTAGACGCTCAGATCAATGTTTAGTTAAACAAAAGGTCCTCATCACCTATTTTCTTCATTAAAACATTGTAAAATGACTAATCTACTCCCCTCTTTAAATAAGTAAATAGAAAAGGAAGAAATAATATATATATATATATATATATAACTCCTACTTTTACACCCATCCCCTACGCTCTCCCCCTGTCACCATTATCAAAATAACTAGAAGTAATTTAAAAGTATAAAAAAATATAAGAAAAAAATAAAAATAAAAAACAAATTGTGTTTCTACCTCATCCAATTTTGCACCTTACAATCGATTGCCACCACCCATTCTTCACATCTCACTATCGCACCATCCAAGAATTTAGCCGCTTATGAGGCAAAAATAAAATTGGATGAGAAAGATACACCATTTTTTATTCTATTTTTTATTCTTTTGTAATTTTTTTATACTTTTATTTCTATATATATATATATATATATATATATATATATATATATATATATTTCTAACTCCTACTTTTATGCCCATCCCCTACGCTCTCCCCCTGTCAACATTAGCAAAATAACTAGAAGTAATTTAAAAGTATAAAAAAATATAAGAAAAAAATAAAAAATAAAAAACAAATTGTGTTTCTACCTCATCCAATTTTGCACCTTACAATCGATTGCCACCACCCATTCTTCACATCTCACTATGGCACCATCCAAGAATTTAGCCGTTTATGAGGCAAAAATAAAATTGGATGAGAAAGATACACCATTTTTTATTCTATTTTTAATTCTTTTGTAATTTTTTTATACTTTTATTTCTATTTTTAATTATTTTGTTGGTGGTGGTGGAGGGTAGAGGATGAGCATAGGGGTAATGGTGAATTGAAAAGATTAAATATTTTTCTTTTGTTAAAATGTTTTAAATTGTTTTTCAGGAAACTCGTTCGTACTTTTTAAAAATTTTGGAAATATAGTTGTGATTTTTTATATTATTTATTTCCTTTCTATTTGTTTATTAAAAGAAGGGTAAATTAATCCTTGTACAAGGGTAAATTAATCACTGTACAATGCTTTAATAAAAAAATTAGATGGTAAGGACCTTTTGCACAAAAAAATGTCGATCTGATTTTTAAAATGTCAAGATTGAAAAGATAGGAACTATTTACGCAATAAAGATAAATGATGAAGACATTTTGTGCCGGTTATCCATATTTCGCAGAAAGATTTAACGGAGCATGACAGAAAAATCCAACTCCACAAGAAAGGTTGGAAAGAGGATGTAAATGTCAAATTTGAAACAATGGAAACTATTTTTGCAATGAATACAAATGATATGGACGTTTTTGCTAATTACCCTCGTTGAAAGGTAAAAATAAATAAAACGAGCTCATTTACAGTTGTTGATCCAATGATCTTCTTTCTAAATTCTAATATGATTTTTTTTAAAGAAAAATTCAATTTTTTGACTATAAATACTTATTCTTCTTTTATATTTTTCACATAATTTTCCATCTATCAAACAATATTAATTTCCTTCAATTATAACTTAGCCCATGTTTGATGGCTATTATTTGACAAAAAATGAATTTTTGAATAGTGAATTTTTGAAGGATGTGTGGTTGAAAAATAATAAAATATTTTTGAATTTACGTGTAAAATATATTATTATGTAAATGTATAATTGAAAATAAATATGTAGAATAAGGTTTTGAAATAATCCTTGTCAAACAGAAGCTTAACCGTATTTATGAATATTTAAATCATTTTTTTATACGTTTTAAAGAACTCACAAGTATTTTTCATCACTCAATTCTATTTATTTATAATTTTTACAAAACTAGTCTTTTGTCCGTCCAATGCACAGGCTATGTTATTTTTAAAGTAATGTTACTATATCGAAATATTGCATTATGGATGACAAATCCACAATAGCCATCGCATACATATGTCTCCTTAGCATATCCCCAGGCCTATATATAAAGGATTGTGATAAAATAAAATTTATTCCAATTTCGTACCCCCCCCCCTTTTTCCCCATTATGAGATCTATCTATGTAGGTCCTAGATATATCAACTTTCTATAAAGATGGCTTTTGTTTTGAAACAGAAAGTAAAATCGCAGAATAAGAACACAAGATTTTTCGGCCGTAATCCCAAGGTTCAGCAATCACTATTAACGCCTAATGCCCGTTTAGCATCCCTAAGGATTTAGCTCGAATCCACTAAGAAAGCCCTTAAAATGGGCAAGAATGTTATAGATCTAAACCACAAAGGTTCGAACACCAATAACCTCTCAAACTCTGATTTCTCTCTATACAAATTACTCACAAAGAATACTCAACACTCAGAATATCATAATCTCACAAAGAGATTACTAAAATCATCAAGAAGATGAATTTACAAAGACTTTTAGAGATAAAACCAAGAAGGAGACGAGAGAGGAACGAAGAAAACAAAAACACACACCCTAACCCTAGAATGAAGATTTCAATTTAAAAGGAATACGATCAATCGCTGATCCAACGGTCCAGATTTCACCAAGTGTCAGCCATCCATTTAAAACGCACCGATACATAGAACATAAAACACGCTTTTAATCTATTCCAGAATCTTCACTTAATTGGATCAAAAAAGGACCCGGTTACTTGGGCTGGCTATGCTGGACCATTTTAATAAATGGGATTAGAAATGTAGCAACCCATTTACAATTTCCACCTTTGCTTCATTTTTAAGACTCTGAATAGTGGACTCAAACTTTACCTCGGTTCATATGCTCAGTTAAACCTGTCAAAAAAAAAAAAGGACTAGTTAGTTTCAAGATTCAATAATTTCAAAGAATCTTGAAATTTATTCAATGGTATTACCTTTGTGCCTGCATTTGCTAGATTCACTTTAGTGGATATTTTTACCAGTTTTATATTACTCTTTTCAATTATATCCCTTATGAAGTGAAACTTAACATCTATGTGTTTGGTTCTATCATGAAACACTGAATTTCTACTTAAGAAAATAGTACTTTGATTATCTAAACAAAGCTCCACCTTATTTTCTATAAACCCCAATTCATTTAATAGACCGTTTACCCACAGACCTTCTTGTACAGCTTCTGTAGCTGCAATGTACTCAGTTTCAGTGGATGATAAGGCAACTAATTTCTGAAACTAAGACTTCCAACTAATGCAGGTGTTATTTATTACATAAAAATATGCAGTGGTAGATTTTCTATTGTCTAAATTCCCAGCAAAGTCAGAATCAACATACCCTTTTAGTTTAAGACCATTTTTATCAGATTTAAACATAAGTCCTAAATTCTGAGTACCTTTTAGATATCTGATTAAGTGTTTCATAGCTTCCCAGTGAGTTTCGCCTGGATTGCTCATAAATCTACTTGAAACATTAACAGCAAATGCAATATCTGGTCTAGAGCACACCATAATATACATGACAGATCCTACTGCATTTGCATAAGACACATTTGCCATTCTATTATATTCATCTTCAGTTTTGGATGAATGTTCAACAGACAACTTCACACAAGCAGATAAAGGAAGGCTAACAGATTTTGATTCATATAGTGAAAACCTCTTAACTACTTTTTGAATATAGGATTCTTGTGTTAAAAATAATTTTCCATCTGTTCTATTTCTTTTTATTTCCATTCCTAATATTTTTCTAGCAGGTCCTAGATCCTTCATTTCAAATTCAGATTTAAGTTTTCCTTTTAAGGAATCAATTGCAACTTTATCATGATCAGCTAGAAGCATATTGTCTACATATAGAAGCAAATAGAAAAATTCAGAATTTTCCACACACTTGAAATAAAAACATGAATCATATTCAGATTTATTAAATCCAATACTTTGTATAAAAGTGTCAAATCTCCTATACCATTGCCTAGGAGTCTGTTTTAGGCCATAAAGGGATTTCTTCAGTAAACACACCAAGTTTTTTTTCCTTTTATTTTCAAATCCCTTAGGTTGAGACATATATATTGTTTCATCTAATGTTTCATAGAGAAAAGCGGTTATCACATCCAATTGTTCTAATTCTAAGTCAAATTGTGCTACTAAAGCAAATAGAATCCTAATTGATGTGTATTTAACAACTGGTGAAAATATGTCATTATAGTCAATTCCTTCTCTTTGTGTGAAACCCTTAGCTACTAATCTTGCCTTATATCTATTATTGCCTTATTTCAAATCACTTTCTTTTATTTTATATACCCATTTACAGTCCACTAGTTTGTAGTCAGTAGGCTTTTCTACCAAATCCCAAGTATGATTCTTATTTAGAGAATCCATTTCTTCTTGCATTGCAGCAAGCTATCTTGCTGAATCTTTGCAAGAAACAACCTCTTCAAAAGAGGATGGTTCAGAAGTTAGGGTTTCAAATTCAATATGTTCAGATACATAGTCTGCTTGTAAGAATCTAGAAGGGGTTCTAATTACTTAACTTTCCCTGTCTCTAGCAAGTTGATAATCTTG